CCCGTCTACGGCATCATCCTGTCGCTTGACTCCCGGTACCAGGGTATGCCATCGTTGTGATCATCACAAGGGGGGGGGTCGTATTTGGTCAGAGAAAAATTTTTTTTGATAGTTGATTTCTCTTGTTTCACGGGACGCTGTAAAGGGGGGGGGTCGTACTTGGTCATTTTTGGGAGGGGGGGTCGTATTTGGTCAGTTCACGGACGCACTACTATTTCCGACACTTGAAAATGATAGTTTAATTCTGACGACCCCCTCCCCCGCTCGACGGCTCGGTTCGATGAGGAAGGACAGAGGGCTGGGAGGGGGTCGTACCAACTCCCAAAAGGGGGGTCGTATTTTAGTATGGAATTAGGGGGTCGTAATTTTCAGAAAATGATCACAACGCGATGGCGTGCCCTGCTCGGTACGAAAGGGTAATGTCGGCCCGCGCAGCGTTCGAGGGGTGCCCAGAAGCAGTCACCCTCACCCCTAGTATCTGTGATTTCCCCCTCCGGGAACTCACGGTTTACGAAATCGTCTCGGCTAAAGCGCGTGTGAACGTTTCATCTGCAATGCGGTTTTCTGAACCGCCGGCCTCCGTCGAAGCGGAAGTGCAGCTAGCGAACGTCGTCCGTCAGTTTCTGCCGATGCATCCGGAAGAAGGTATGCTACCCCTTGCGGTTTTCAAGATCACCGCACCAGAAGTGGCGTGGTTCGCGGATCGTCTAGGACGCTTCGATAACTATCATGCCGACCCCGATGCTTCCAAAATCAAGCTGGCGAAGATCTGCAACGCAGCGTGCTCAGCCCTGGCTGCCGTCAACTCGGCCGAGGATGACCGACGTTCTCACTGGGTCGTGGCCAGGGAGACAACCCCAAGATGGTTCCCTATGCGGCTTCAGTTCACCCTCACGGACATGTCTTCTGAAGCAGGATGGACTTCAGGTCGTCACGTCGTTTTATGGGTTGCAGGTTCGGACAGCCTCATCCGCGTTAAGGTCGCTCGCGTGGACACCCATCCCACCCAACACACGCTGCACGTCGTAGTCCAAGCCTTCCCCTGGTCACAGCAGCCTCTCACTAGGGCTATGCATGACCTCGGTCGCAACGTAGGCGAAATTAGAGAGGCTAAGCAAGAGCACTGCTGCCGGATGATGGAACTCGGCACGAGCGGTACCTAAGAAATCTCCCCACCCCCGTCCGACACGGACCAAAAAGACGCCGTCCGCGTCGGCACGGGTGACCTTCCCATAGTCGCCCTTCAGGCTGCTTTCGGCACGGGTAAGAGGGTCGGGCAGAACCGTCATCGTAACAACCTCCACCAAACGCGGCCGTGGCGCAATTCGCAGAGACGTTACTCTCTCTGGACGACTTCCCCCGCCTCAAGGTAGTGCGCCACATTTCAGACACTGCTGCGGCGGACAACCGTGGCCCAACCCCGGTGGACCTCAACAAGATCCTGAAGAGGCTCGGAGAAGACTTCGCGGACCGGCTGGACGAAGGTGAGCGTCGGGTCTGCGCTAAGTTCAAGCGCTACAGACAACTGCTTGAGGACTACATCGAGAACCCCGACCGCGTGCCGACCATGTCTGATCGGGACAAGGAAGAGTACACCATTGCGGAGCAGTATGTCTCGCAAACACTGAAACGCATGGTGAGGATCATGTTCACGGTTCGGCGACCATCGGTCATTTGTATGACCACGTCTTCCCTCCTCAACTCCACCAGCGGCGTAGGAATTTTCGGTCCTTATGTCGACCAATTTGGAGTGGTGATCGGCGATGAGGCGTCGCAGATACCGGAGCCGGTGCTCCTCACCATCGTGGGTCGCCTGAGCGACGCACGGCACGTCTACATTGGAGATGTGCACCAGTTGGCCCCGCATACCAAGTGCCCACACGGCTCCAATCCCGCGCTTCATGGGGCTCGTAGCGTCATGAGCCTTCTTTTGGTGTCCCCTGCAGTCCCCGTGGCACCCCTGGTGACCACATTCCGCTCGCACCCCGCCCTTATTCAACTGCTCGTAAGCTGCACACCAGCAGCATCCCGGCAGATGCTGCTGGCAGTGATGAATTTTCCCACCAGAGGGGTCCCGTTTCTTTCATCGATACCATCGGGGACTCCATGCAGGCTCCTAGCAAGTCCCACTTCAACACGACCGAAGCTCGCCTCTGCACGTACCTTCATAAGGCTATTGTTCAAAGGAATCCCAGCTGCCTCTATTTGTGTAATCTCGTTTTACAGGGAACAGTATCGACAAATGAAGGACGAGCTGAACACTCTGAATGTGGAGCTGACAACAGTGGATTCCGTCCAGGGCCGAGAGAAAGAGGTAGTTATAATCCTTACTACTAGAACAGGATTTTCTTCAGAGACGGCGGACTTCCTCGACGATTACCGCCGACTGAACGTGGCGGTCTCCCGGTGTCGGCACGGCCAATTCATCTTTGGCCACGCCGACTCCCTTCGGCGCATCCCGACATGGAGCAGAGTTTTGGAATGGGCCGACTCGCTGAATGCCGTGGTCCCCTTCAAGGATGTCAACCGTTACTTGAATCCCCCTCGCTAACCTGTTCCGGTAAGTCCGTTCCTTTTCTCTACATTGAAAAGTCCGGGTCGGACTTTCGGTAAAGGGGGAGGTGTAAGCCGCGCCTCATGGCGGCGGCGAGTAAGGGTGACGAAGCCATGACTCATCTGAATGTTTTCAGGAGGCGTGAGGAAGCGGCGGAGGCAAGCGAGGAGTCGACTGGAGAATGGACCGGAGAGCCGGCTCGGTCCTCTACCCAGGGCGAGGCCCTGCTCATTTCAATGGCAGTTCGACGTAGTGATCTCCTAAGACCGTCATAGTCTATTTCTCTTATTTCTGTACATTGATATTATTTTCATTTTGTACCCTTTAGTCGCAATATGCCCTTTCTTGTCTTTTATTGAAGTGCCTCCGTTCCTTTAACCTATGTTCATTATAAATTCCGGTATAATCGTTTCCGTATGAATCGCAGATAAAAGTAGTACTTTTGATGGTCGGAGTTAGACACACGCTGTACGCACCTTCCCACGCGCGGCGTTAGCTCACTGAACTCCTACCCTTCATATTACTTTCAAATGGTTTTCGGATCGCGCACTGCGGCGTTAAACAGCAGTTATCAAACAATAACAGCTTGAAACTTGTAAAAAGCCTTCAGCCTTGCGGTTCACTGCCGATATCGGCTAACCGGCGTTGACCAACGCCGCCTCCCTCTAACCTAGAAAGGTATGGTATCTAATACTACTCACAATAAGTGTCACAAAATTCAGAAGAATCTATGGTGCTTCTGACCCATGCGAGGGTTCCATAGTGTTCATAGCCCGCCATGGAGAAGCACAGAAGTGATATTCTACGATCAAACGAGGGGATTTTGAAAGCTGTTCTATAAGAGGACACCTACTATGAACAGGACAGCATCATTGTGTGAAACACAGACGGGGTCGTACTTCGCGGCTGTGGAGGGAGTGGGTCGTATTTGGTTGTTGTTGGGAGGGGGAGGGGTCGTATGTGGTTCTGATAAAATTTGCCGCGTTGGCTGCGATGGAGTACTATTTTTCCCTGCTGTTGTTTTTTCGTGATGTTGTCTGTTTCATTAGTTCACATGGCCCTCCCCCTCCCCGCTCGAAGGAAAATCTTTGTGAGGAATTTGCTGGGGAAGGATGGGTGTCGTACTTACTTACAAGGAAAGGATGGTTGGTCGAAGTGGCCATTTAAGACAAGATGCATACACACTGATGCGTCTTCGGACGCTGATTTCAAATCTGCTTTCCATATCTGCTAAACGATTCTCTGAGCAGAGATATGCAGGAGGTTGTTGTACGGAGCACAATTGAGCTTGGTACACAAATGAGACGTGAGTCGTCACACGAAGTGCATCGGTGGCCTAGTGGGTAGTGTGCCGCGCTCAAGTATGCGAGGTGAGAGGTTCGAATCCCTCCATGAATCGTCATTTTGCATTTTCTCAAAAATGCCTCCTGCACATCCGGAAAGCACTTCTGCGAGGCTAGGAGACCTGATTCTACCAAAAAATTTTATTTCTGATGTGATAGAGCCATTCTGGAACACTCCTAGTGGGAACTCCTGATTGTTGGTTTCGGCGGCATTATTCGTTCCGTCGTGTTGTGAGGCCAAACTGATTCCAGATGGCATGGAAGCCAAAAGTGGATGTCGTGGTTGTTATCAGGACCGTCAGTAACCAGTAAGGACTAAGATTTAGTTAGCGAGGAACCTCCAGCTGCTCACAGAGATTTGAATCGGCGATAGTGCCAGCAACCTTTAGGAATTGGCTGCCTATGGTTACCCCACTGTATCGAAAATAGGTCGAAATCTCAAATTTGGTTGAAAACTTGTCTCTAGGGCTAATTTGAGCCCCAGAGCACGAATATCACACTCGTTCGGCGTAAAAACGCTTGCCAAGGACGTTGCAGGTTCCTGCACACCCTGCCCCTCCAGAATGCGTACAAGACGTTTTCACGAAATATGACTGCAGTGTTGATTTCCAGGGCACTGAAGCACCTCTAGTTTCAGATTCCAGCCAATTTGGGCAATTTGGAGCACCTCATATACATGCTGGAAATGGGTGTGACCTGGTCAAAAATCCTGCATAACTTTGTCCAGGAAATCGTTTAGCAGATATGGAGGGCAGATTTGTAATCAGCGTCCAAGGGCCCATCGGGCAGTATACGTCTCATTTCGAATGGCCACTTCGACCAAGCATCCTTTCCTTGTTAGGTGGGGGGTCGTACCAAGACCCTTTCTGGAGAGGGAGGTCGTACTGCCACCACCATTTCACACATCACGATGCTGTACCCTAAGTGCGAAAGTAAGAGACCTGGGTCGAACACTGTTGGAAACACGGGAGTTCTGGAACGGAAACTTGCTGTTTCCATGTTTGTTGACAAGCTTTTTTGGGCCGCTGAAGAACGTTTTTTGTGAATATTTACCACGGACGTTGAAGGTCATTGAAAGTACAGAAGATGTGATACATTTTGCGTCATATTTGAATCTCCTCGCATTTTTGCTCGTCTTGGAGCATACTGTATGACTGTATTTGTTTACAATTGAAAAGAAGGCTCGATCCCACGCGACAAAAGCCGAACGACTCTTGATCACCACTGTATTTGGATCAGCTAGTCTTCTGAATGCCGCCCCCGCCCCCCCCCCCTCTCCCCACATCTTGACGTGCTACTGAACATGCTTTGGAGGCTAGGTCCGCGATAGGAAGTTTAGGCAGTGGTTTTGGAAAATAGAAGCTGCTAGAAATCATAAACTAAGAGAAGATGCGATGCGAACGTCGGAAAAGATCCCCTTGCCTCGGACAGCTGTAGGCGTGCAAGGAGAGAAGACCGCGTGTCATAACCAGCTCAGTCGGTTGAGTCCTTGTAGTGAGTCCCACCCGAAGCTACAATGAAGCTTGTCCGGTAGCAGCATTTTCGCTTCAAAGGCAAAGCCCGCTAGACAGATAGTATACCAGTCGCCCTGCTGTCACCGGGCGCTATCACTTCGCCTTCATCATTCGGGAAAGTGAGAATTAGTAGAGGGGCTACCAGCTAGTACATAGTAGCCTCTAGGGGTCGGCATGGATCTAAGGGGTGCTTTCGTGTCTAAGTGCTCATTTTCAACTGGAAACATGCGATTCCACTTTTCTTAATGTGTTGTTGCGTCTACAATTGCCCAACACATCAGCTAGGTTATTTGAGGGTGAGTAACCTTAGTTTATCGCGGAATGTGCCTTTGAGGCTGACTTCGAAGGCTGAGTCACTACGAAAAAGGAGGTGTCATTAAACTTTGGTTCCTAGCACCTTTACCTTAGCTTTCAAACGCTGAATTTCCTGTCGATTGCGTACCACACTACCTTTTCACGTAGCCTTTACACGTTCATGGGTCATCGTGGACCATTCCTTTGAGGAACGGCTAAGGCATATAGATTTGGAGCCCTGTCCCCTTTTTCTGTCCTGAATAAGGGTTCAACAGAGCAAAATTCGAGTGCAGTATTGGCCCTAGATATTAAAGGCGGAGGGCGAGAGTAGGTTTGGTCAATGTTACACGAAGCGCAAGGCACGCGCAATGTGAACCAAGAAGTCATAACATCATCTGTATCTTTATCACGGATGATTGCTAAGTAATCTACCACAAGTTTTTCCATATTTTGTATAACGGTGACAGTGACATTGTCTGCGACGGTTTCCCACCATGTGGCGTATTGAAGTTGTGAAGGAGCTGAAAACACATGAAATCTCTCCAGGAATCTCCTTTCAAAAATAATCAACAATCAATAAAAAACGTTCCAAACTTGTGCTGAGCAGATCTGAAAAGAAGGAAGTGCTCTGAATAATAAAAACAGCACCAATTAAGTTCTCAAATGAGTAATCGGGGGTTTTCGAGAGTGTAAAATTTCCAATCACAAATTAAAATATGAAAATTATAGCATTTCTCACATGTTCCACATTGGTTTGGCACTCCATCCACTGGATATGTACAGTTGCATTTGTAGGCACAGTACTCCGTTATGCTGTCATCCACACTGCAGGTTCCTGGAGCGTCACTCTGATCTACCCGACATTTCCTCCTCGCAGTAGACGTGTCACAAGGAAGTGTATCTGAAAAAAGGCAGGTAGTGCTTTTTCCCCTCATATGTTCATATAGGAGGTGAATCCGTGGCGAATACGCCGTTAACATGCGCATGGACCACAGAATCCTGGATCCTGGTGGTTTATCCTCCCGCACGACTCTTGTCCAGAATTTTGGATCCTGGAGAAGAGTCGTGCGGGAGGATAAATGTACTACCTTGAAAACAGCTGGTACCAGTGGTCCGTTGCAGAGTACTAACAGTAATTCGACTGAACTAATAATTCGACGCTTGGTGTAGCAGGCAATTTCTTATGTCTCCATGGAAATAGACGTTTCAATGATGTTCACCACCAAACGGGAACTACCTATTAGATTATAGAGCCACCCAGAAAATGACTGGCGAGAGAGCACAACGGCATTAGTACGACGGCACGGGCAATGTAGGACCGCATGGGCCTCCTCAGCTCATCGCGAACGTGCTTTTAGGTTCAGCAACTTCTCTTTCATTTACGAATGGATCTATGGTAATGGTACTGATCGCTGACATCATTTCTGTATTGACCCCCAAACACTTCGCCCAACAATTTACAATTTTTGGAATACGCGGGCCGCCTTATGTTTCACGTCTATCTCATGCAAACGTTTTCGCTGACATGCCCTCTCGCTCGCTCTCACACCTCTCTCTACGCTCACTTAACCACTCCGTTGGGAACTAGGACAGCCTTAGCGGCTGGATATCCTATTATTCCGGTGAGCAGCTTCCAGGGCTTTTTAATTCCTCGTCGGATTCACACAAGCCTAGCCAGTCGTCAACCATATCACACAAGCAATAGAATACCACTTGACCCTCACTAAGTCTCTGCACTGTTTCTCTTCTGCCGGGCCACCGGCTGAACTTTCACGGGCCGAGCAGAGTACAGGATCCGAAACCCCAAATATTATCCCTCACGCGAGCTCTTTCCCACACTATATCGCAACTTATCTCCCTTCACCAATGTTCCTTAACCCCTTATGAATGACTTGCTAGAAACACTTCTCAAGTGTTGCTACAACTCGTGCTATGAGCTTCGGGGGCACCCTCTCTCTCGCACACCACAGCCTCTGGTATCTTATCAGCCGTTATCACGTCCTGCCACCCACTAATAATGTTCCCATCCTGCCCCCCATTTAACTTATTGGAACTCGTCACTGTGGTCCGCGCTATGGAGCTGGTGACCCTTCCTTTCTTATTCCCCCCGTGGTACCTTATCAGCTGTTATCTCTTCCTGTCAACCCACCAATAATGTTCCCATCCTGCCCCCTATCTAACTTCTTGAAAATCAACGGGTCCATCGCCAAGGTCCTCTCTCGGTATCTTATCAGCTGTGATCTCTTCCTGCTCACCACCACATAATGGTCCCATTCCTTGCGCCCTATCTAACTTCTTGAAATCAACGTCACATTGCTGCTGTGGCCGGTGTTATGAATTAGGTAACCCACTCTTTTTGGGGCTCCTCATGGTATCTTATCAGCTGCACTTCCTGCCACCCTCCAATAATGTTCCCATCTTGCCTCTTATCTTACTTGTTGAAGCCAACGCTCTAGCTTTGCTGTGACGCGCATTATAATTATGCTCACTTTGCCTTTATAAGGCCCCTTATGGTATCTTATCAACTGTTATCACTTCCTGCCACCCACTAATGGTATTCCTGCCCGACCCTCTAGATCACTTATAAGTTTGAGCGCTTTATCGCTATTTTGAAGAAAGTTATGAATTTCCGGTCTTCAAAACACCACACACAAACATATCATACACACACTTCACACAACAGACAATTTAGCAATTATATACTCCTTCATCATTACGGACTGTCGGGGCGGGTCAGTGCGGCTGCGTTTTCCGCGGTTCCAAAGTCTTTCTGCACCAGTTGTTGAAGCGATCAAATGACATAACAGCATTATATCCTTCGTATTACTCGTTTTCTACCACTTTTTGTCGCATACGCGCTTCAAAGAAAAGGCTGAGAACGGCTTCAAACAGTGTGCGCACTCCTTCTGGCTGATACGCCCCGACAGTCCGTAATGATGAGAGTGTATATAGTAGGATGGGTAATGAATTGAGGAGATTGATCCAATCCTAGGATTCCCAAATCAGGTTCCAACAGGAACTAGATACCCTGAGCTCGTTTATTCCAATATATCGAGGCC